AAGATCTTGCGTAAGATCTTGGGTACAAAAATGTCTTGAGATCTTGTACGCATTTTTTCAAGATCTAGTGCCAAATCCTAACGTAAGATCTTGGGCAAGATCTTGGTTCCAAGATGTTGGACTAGGGATGTGCGATATATCCCCAACAAAGAAAATGCAAGAAGCCCTGGGGCCAGTTCTTTAAAAAGCTTGAGTAAAAAAGTAAGTCCCAGTTAAGTAAAACTTAAGATTTGACTTCAGAGCCATTTCATATCAGCGGCGACTGGGTTACGAAGTACACTGCTCAAACGTATGTCACGGAACTCGTTCGAACCAGTCATAAAAAATATAGTCGTTTCTGAGTAAAATGGCGTTTTCCGTTTTAAAAAATATTGGGTGGTTGCTCAGAAGCGAGCATTTTAAAATTTCGACTCACTTTTGAAAAATGCGACATCTCTCATATTGAAAACATTGTGTTGCTCATATCTCTACAATCATAGAAGCTAAAACGTTCAAATTTTTTACATAAACGGAATCAACATTTTTGTTCAATTTAAAACAAATCCGGTCTCTGGGAATCGTCTTGTTCTCATACAGGGACCTACATCCGGTACATAATAAACTCATATTTTGTCCACTTTGGGGCCATACTATCGCAACGAAAGATTTTCATAAAATTTTGAAAACTTCATTAGATACAACTTCTAATTCACTTTTACTCAAATAAAAACTGCATCGAAAGTACCAACTTTAGCTGAAAATGTCATCAATTAATTTTCTCCCGTAGCATAAGACGAGTTTTGGAAATATTTGGGGCACAAGTAGTCTCAACCTTGTTTTGTTACTATAGTAACAGTAGCATTGAGAACAAAATTTCTACTTAAGCTATATAAGTGCATTAAAGCCACAAATTTATTCACTAATATGGAAGAAGATAGTCAAGTTGCAGTCATGGCTGTGGTAATAATTGGAAGAAGCTGGACCGGAAATAAGGAGTAAAGTGAAAAGTTAAGGTACGGCAGACGTACGAGTTCGGCATAAAACGTTAGTGTCAACGTGAAATCATGTTGTCCTTAAGGCTGTACGCCCAGTATTTTCGTCTAGCGTATCCAAACTGAAGTGAAGATAGAAAAACGCTTGCGTCTTAGGTTGTGCTGACGGCGAGCTTCTGATAAACTTTATTAATGCAATTTATCAAGAATGTCGTAAAGAAGCCTGTTATGTAACATATACAGACAAGAATCAACAGCAACAACAATAAAAAATCAAAATAATGTTGCAATCATTTGTTTCTTCTTGCTATATAGATGTGTAACGTGGAAAGTTTCCTTTGCTGTTCCTGGTTTCTCATTTAGAAAACTAGATTAAATAAACGACAAGTATAATCCTTTCGACCTACTCTATCCATTCCAATCAACGCATGTAAACTTTAAATTCCTTAACAGATGTGTGGACTGCTCTGTTCTTCTTATCTCTTTTTGAGCGTTTCCATGTCCGTGGCTCATTCTTCTTTACGTGATGTGCATAAATTATCTAAAACGTTTGTGAGCAGAATGGCGTTTCAAATATCATCGATTTTGTTTCAAAAAGCTATTCAAAATGTTAAATTTTCAACAACAATACAAGAACAGAATTTGATAAAGCAAATGTTTGATCAGAGAATAAAATTTCCTCGAATGATTGGTGTAATGACTGCCCTCACATTATGATTAAACAAAATCGATGCTATTTAAAACGCTATTCTGTTCACAAACGTTTTAGATAATCTATGCACATCCGTATAAAAGAACGAACCATTAATATAAAAAGCGTAACGTCGTTAAAAGTTGAATAATAATGCATAATGCATAATGCATAATTATGTGAGGTCGGACGTTGAACATGATGTTCAATTTTGTTTAATAAATCTACTACTGCTTGTTTTTGGAAATCGACAGGGTGCTAAAAATTGATTTTCTCTCATATATTCCAGCGGATTTGAATGATCGAAATAAACACATTCTCATCTCAAGCAGTGTTTTATCTAGGTTTCGTTTTTCGAGTGAGTGATTGAAATTTTTGAAGGGGCTGTTGGCTAAAAAAGTTTTGCTAAAACGAAATCAACTGTTTATTCTCGGGTGGGCGCCGCCCATCCGGCCTACCCACTAGATAAATCACTGATCTCAATGCTTTTTCCATGTCAGAAAATCCTACACGGTTCCATACAATCCTATAGAATTTCTTAGAGCCAACGTTTCCTACAGAATCCTATAGTAGGATCCTGCAAAAATCCTATGAGATCCTACCATAGAATTCTTTAACCTGGGTTGTCACCAATATAGTAATTAAAGCCATTTTGTAAACTGTTTTTCGTTTAAATTTGTTTGACACAGCCAAACACAGCAAAAAATATACAATGTTTTTAACTTTCAGGATGTTTTTTTAGCACACTTAAGTTAAGTGAAAACTTAAGTAGAAAAACTGACTTAAGTTTTACTTAAGTTTTTTAAGAAACTGGCCCCTTGAACTATAAAATTATTTTCAATAAGAGATGGAGAAGTTTAGATGAACCTAAACTCCTGAAATAATTGAATTATCGTAGTTCTCTCTCACTCTATCGATCATACTGCAGTAATATTTCGAACAAGATTGAAAAAATCCAAACTACCCTTAGTAGTAGTAAGATGTTTTGCTACTCCAATGAGCATAGATTCATTTGGATATTACTGAAGATCACTCATTCATTACACAAATCTACGAATGAATCAGCCACTTTCGAAAACTTAAATCGATAATTTAAAATAAAGTTTGATGAAACGAATATCTAGACATTTATCAACCAGTCAGTGTCATTAGAACGCTAGTAAGTCTTCGAACCATTTGATTATCGTTGATCCTTGTCGCTAGCAACCAAACGCTTGTGGCGCCACTCTTTCGATGGGTTTTGATGTCAAATGAAATAGAAATAAAATCTTGACGTGTTTTATTCTTTCCCGATGAAACATTCCATAAATCTTTAAGTTCCTATCTACCATAAACGACTAGAGGCACAGCAGTTCTCTCATAAAATGGCTCTTCTTTCTCTATGAATGAGAGCGATTTTGTTTGCATTTTTTTCTCGTCCGCTTTTGCATGGGTTCATCTGTATTTTTAACCTGGATTTAGTGTAAAGCAAACAACCAGACAATTTGTGTTTTGTTTCAGCAGTTTAAAACACGTGCATTTCAACATCTCTCGTACACTCAATAAAATTAAACACAGCATGTATCTATCGTCTTCTATTTTCTTCATTCTAGAAATCTCCTTGATTCAGTTGCGTACTCTCTTCTTTTGTATGTGATTCAAATTGTAGTCAACTTCATAGATATTTTTATTTTCTTTTACAAGTTGGACGTATTTTATCTGAAAATAAAAATCGAAAAAAAGAGATAAAAGAAATTAAAGAATATCAGTTTTGTGGTTGTGTTTTTGTATGTGTCGTAGTTCTCTGTGATCAACGTTTTGAAACAGACAAAGAACCGATTTTACCAAGAAAAATAACAACAACAACAAAATGAGTACGAACAATAATGGTTCACCGTATTTAGGAAGTAAAATTAGTCTAGTATCAAAAGCAAAAATACGTTATGAAGGAATATTATACACGATTGATGCCAATGAATCAACCGTTGCATTAGCCAAAGGTACGTTTGAAATCTTTCAATAACTTGTTTTCTCTGCGATTTATCAAATTTAGCGTGCCTTTTGCACCGTAAATCATAATAGACATTTCAAAGCTGTGTTGATTGGTATTATTAGTCGCAAAACTGTCCCTGTGCTTGCACCAATCAACGGTGAAGCACTAATGATTCTATTGAAACATTAAAAAATTGAGAATACTATAGATTTTTTTGCGAGTTCGAAGAGAGTTTGCAAAATCATATAAAATGTCAAGTAAAGCACAAATTTTGTAGATCTCAAGCACAATTAAGAGTAAAATCAACTTAAAGACACATGAATACCTGAGAGATAGCGAAAAGAACAACAATTCATTGAGAACAAACTAGTTAGCAAACTGTTGAAAGATCTTTTGCCTTATTCTCATTTTAGTATGTGTTACAATTTTAATTGCGCTTTAAATATTCAAAGTTTGTGCTTTACTTGACATTTTATATGATTTTGCATACTCTCCACGAAGTCGCAAAGAAATCTATAGAATCCCCAACTTTTTAATGTCTCTTGAACCGCCTAGTGATTCTAACCACGAATTTTTCATTTTATCTTCATAAAACACTTATTTTGAATGTATAAAATTTTCACATTAAAAGATTAAAAAATAATAGACACATTCCAAACCAAAAATGACTCGACAATCCTTACTCATTGTAATCATAACATTATTCAGACATTTTGTAGACAAAATATGTTCTTTTAGAATATGTATTTGAAAAAAATCATGAAATGACTTTTGAGTTTTCGTATTTTAAAACATTAGCAAACTTTAACGGAGTATTATATGACTTTAAAATTTAAAAACGAACAATCATGATTTTAGAATTATTCTGGGTTTGGAGTGTGTCGAAAAAGATAAATTCATTGGCAATTGCGTATCCTTGTCATCCAGAATTTACTGACTTTTAGTAGAACCAAAGTTAGTTAGGATTTTTGAAGAAAATTAGTGTATATGAGTAAAGAATGTGCTTAAAATGACGACAAAAGTTGGGATTCACCAGCACATGTCTTTGTTAAGTAATGCATAAACGAATAACAGATAAATTTGATGCCCATCCGTATAAATAAGGAGACGCACATAAACAAGGAAACTTTTTAACTGAAGGTAGATGCTCTGAAATAAGTGAGAAAGCGTTAGTTAGTTTTTAAGATGTAAAGAAAAGAAAGACAAAATCTAAAAGTAAAGTGTCCTTTATAAACATCGAATACATAGATATAACTCAACTGGAATAAAATTTAGATACAACTTTCGAATGTCTAGTCTAAAAGAGTTTATAGTAAAGTTACCAGCTAAGCAAGTACCGTAAGAAAAACAATCACGATGCATAAGATTTTTATCAGAAAAAACGGCGCACTATCCAGCAGTGACAGGCACTGTTATTCGCTTTTTTGACTGGCAATAACTGAAAATCAGTGACTAAAGAGCCTTCTGCAATTTATAGCACGTTTGTATAAAGATCCTTTCACACTATAGATCAAGAACAGTAAAAATGTCCCGCTAGTTTCGAGAAAAATTTGGCATGAATAGATGATAAGCAAATTTGATGTCGTAATTGACTACATTTAGAACCTTTCTGACTTGTACATGTACACGCACATAACAGTCTTCTTTTTTTTTAAACTTGTTCTTGTTTATTAAAATATAGTTGTGTTTAACTTCAACAAACAAACGCAGCTATGCTTGCAGACAAGTCTATGTTGCATAGTGCATAAAGCGCTCAACCAAAAACCCTAGCAAATTACATTTTTTTTAATTTTAAAACATGCTACTTGAGTACAACAAAAAGAAAAAAATGGACTAATGGATAAGTGTATGTCAGTATAGAGATATATATACACATAACAGTCTAATCGTCAAGATTTTGTGTCATACCAATTGTTCGACATTACAGTTGTTCCAGATCTGCTGAACGAGAGAGAAAATGCATTTTATTTTCAGTAAGTTGATGGTAATACTTACAGACTACGCATTTTAATATCAGGATTTTGAGAAAAAACAGTTGGTGCTTTATTCTATGTTGTATCTTTATTTTTTATTTTAGTAAGATCTTATGGAACAGAAGATAGACCAACTGAACGTCCAGTTCCAGCACGTGAAGAAGTATTTGAATATATCATATTTCGTGGTGCTGATATTGAAGATTTACAAGTTTGTGAACCACCACAGTCAGCCGTAACACAAGACCCTGCTATTGTCAGAGTATGTTATAAGCTATGCATCTCTTTATAAAACTGTTATTTGAGATTATTGAATTTTTATTTTAGTCATCAGAACCAACGCCGTATCCGAGAAGCGGAAACTCAAGCGGTCTTCCTGGTATGAAAATGTTAATAAAAATGTTCAGTTTACTAAGTGCAAAACCTCATATTTTTGATCTGCTTAGTTTCATCTCAACAAAATGTTCCGTCTAGTAGTAATGCATTACAAAATGCTTTAGTAACAGCGACAACTGGCGCAGCAATCTCTCCGACGTTGCCACAATCAAAGTCCATCGACAGATCAAATACAACACCAAACAATATGGGTAATCGACAAATGTATTACAGTAATAATACAAGATATAATAATAATCAACAATACAATAACCGTCAACGACCAATGGACGGTATCGGTGGAGGAAGTGACAGTTATGGGGATATGAATGAAGGAGGTTATAGTGGTTATGATAACGGTTACAATAATTACGATATGAATGGATATGGCATGAATGGAGGAATGGGAGGAAGACAAGGATACAATCGTTATCAACAGAGAGGTGAATTAATATACTTAGCAAAAAATTCGACACTCAAAAACAGCAGCACTCTGGATTGAACGTATAAATTATTCTTCATAGGCAAAACTTCTTCTGTCGGATCTTTACCAAAGAAATACGTAGGAATGCTATGATGAAAAAGTAATTTTACAAACGTTTTTTGCCCCAAAAGTGTTTTTTATGTGAATAGATGGTTTTTTCATCAGTAGACTATTTGTCAGACGTAGATCTTATGGGATGAAAAAT